CAATATAGAAGCTTAGTGTATTTACTATCATCATTTATTGATTCGGATTTAGGCCTTGGATACTGATCCACAATCGCTCATGATTCAAACCTTGCCGATAAACCAACCACCATCTGTCCCACAGGCTAGTTTGCAATCGAATTTATCGACAATCTCCGCTTCTCAAGCAGTCGCCAGTAATGCCACTTCTATTCCTCTACTTCCTCTAATCCAAGCAGACCAACCATTTCTTGGTTCTGGTCCCTTAGCCCCCGAAAACGCTCAATCAATCACACCTATTATTCAACAGCAGTCTCATCTGCAGCAACTGCCTTCGGATCAGCATCCATCACTGGCAAATGGACCATCTGATGCATCCACTTCTGTAGTAAGTAATATCAATGAGACCCACCAACTCGCTCCTATCTCGATTATTACCCAAAGTATGATCACGCCAACCGCTGAATGTCTCCCTTCCACAGAAGTAATTCAGAATCCTCAACGGCAACAGCCTGGAACTTACGTAATGCAAAATGTTAGTTTTTAATAAACTTCTTTACCTTTATCAATTACTCCATCTCTCACCCACTATCTTTTGTTCCCTTTTTAGCAAGTATTAACCTCAAACTCTACTCATGTGACCCTCGTTCAGCCTGTTCAAACTCTTATCTTGTGTCCATCAACCCCTTCTCGATCCTCTGTGGTTTCCACGGACACTTCTGTTGTTGCTCAGATGTCATCACCTATTGTCCCACTTTCTTTAGGGGCTCCGTCTGACTCCCATGACATTCCTATTTTACTACCAGGAGCTTCCTGTCTGACTAGAGACGGTTGTATGGATCCTCCCGCCTCTGTGCTTCCAGTAACGGAGCTATCATCTGAAGAAGAGGCAAAACGAATCCAAAGAGAAAAGCGTCGTGCGTATCGTCAAAAGAAAAAGTTGGAGCGGCTTGAGCTTCAACAAAAGCAGGCAGAGCAGGCGAAAAAGTCGGAAGATGGTATTGAACCAAGTGATTCCAGCGATAAGGTGGATGATGTTTCCGATTGTATTTCTGATCCTAAGATGAACAAAACAAAAGAAGAGATCGCCAATCATAAGAAACGCTTGACACCTAAGAAGTCTCGTCGGAAGTCTCTAACGACGAATCAAGGAGAAGCTACTGATTGCCCATCTACAAATATCGAGGTATACGAAACCACTGACTTCATATCCGTCACATATTATGCTATTTTATAACTATTTTATTGATTTTTCATCATTTT